GTTCTTGGGGGCCGTGTTAATTAACACGGCCCGAGTTAATTAACACGGGCTCGGGCCTCGGAACCAAGATTGGTCCGCAAAGTTGTTCCTCGGCCCTGTGCACTAACACGGGCCTTTTACGGGGCCTTATATGGGCAACTGTTGGCCTCACGCCGACTTTTTTGATATTCTGGGGTGGGTTTTGGGAGGGGGGGGTACCATATATATATATATATTCTTATATATTTATTTAGGCCCGCCCAAAGACTCTCTCTGTGGCTCTCCTGTCACGCTCCCACGTTTCCCCGCACCGTCCGCCGCTCCACGCCGGGTAGCGAGGGTGGCCGCGCCAGCTTCGCCGGCGGCTCCGGTGGCTCTGGGTCCGCTGCTTCCTCAGACAGAAGGACGAAACAAGTCAAAAAGAGACAACCAGCCAGACTCAGCTGGATTTCCGCGGACCGATCTCACAATGCCGGGGCGCTGCAGTCGGCCGAAGCTCCTCCTGGGTTCACGGACATCCCTCACATCGCCGCGCTAAACCGCTTTGGCACACTGCCCACACTGTCAATCCATCTCAAGCAGTTCTTAGGCCAGAAATTTACTCGCATGCACCCCTTGGCATTTTCAGGCAAGGTGCCTCGACATCGACTTCCAGTACGACATCACTGGATTTCCTGGACGCGCCCCCTGAGGTCAGCACCTGAATAGCGAGAACGTGAAACATCATGCCAAGAGCAAGCCAGCATGTCCCATCGTCCGCCCTACTTTAATTTAACCAAGGGCAGAACCTCTTGTCGCCACCGAAATGCCCAGCCAGCCTGTGACGACACAAAGATCAAAGCACACATCTCGGGGTTGCTGGGAGTTCTGCAGCTGCAGCTGCTGATGCCTTCGCCAGGGTCACAGGCTCATGCGTGCGGCTGCAGATCACGACCTCGGCTGCCCAGCCATGCCGTCGAGCCGTTGAGCCAAGAAATCCCCAGTCCCTGAAGACTCGCTTCGACCTGGCCTCCGAGAGTTCACTGACATCGATCACGTGCGGAGCCCCGCTGCGGTGGCAATGAGGGCAGAGCACTCCTTCAACTTGCGACCGACATGGTGGGCGAAAATTCACGTTTACCCCCTGCCTGCGGTGAAAGACAGGTGCGGGAGCCATTCGGACGTGCTCTCCTAAGTGGAAAGGCGCGATGCAACGAGCCGGACGCGCCGGGCCAAGCCAGGCGTGAAGGCGTGAAGCAGCGAAGGTGAAGCGAAGCCGAGGCGCGTGGACCAGGCCGATGACCTGCTTCGCGAGGTCGAGCGGCAGCTGCAAGCCACCCGACTCGTCGCCATCCGACTCGGCTCCATCCTGCCGAAAACGACGAGGCAAGACACGGGCTCGGCCGAGCGCTGCCACGCGCCTCGCTGCCTGCCAGCCGCTTCACCGCGATCATCTCCGGCCGCCTTCAGTCTGCAACGATTTGCACGGTCTGCAAACATCTGCAAACCAAATTCCAAACTTGAGTACTAGCTGTCACTGGCCGCCACAAAGCCACCACGAATGCTGACCACCTCGCCGAGAAGGGCACTTGCCCATGTGCTGCCAAAAGGCCCCGGTGGGAGAAGCTCAAAGGCAAGGCGCCGCGTTCCAAGAAAGATGGTGCAGCTGTCCTCTCGATTGCTTCGAGTTCGACACATTGGACCACGCTCCCCGAAGTTGGGTGGAGTCGTTCTCTTTGCCTTGTAGACCCGGGAGTGCGTCAGCCGAAGCGATGGCATCCTCAAGGCAAGCGGGCAAGCTTTGACACCATCGATAAAGCAAAGCATGACACAGACCAGAAGCATTGCTCCAGGACCCTAGGATTGCTGATATTTTCAGCATGGCATCATTACGGTGTTGCTAGTAGTATTCAAGCCGGGTTGCTTGGCAGCGCTGGCGATCAATCTCGGGAAGACCGTCGGAAGCAACCTTCGATTTTCTTGGAGACATGACGACTTCTTTCTCTGACAAGCATTTCTGCTAACATTTCCATAACCTGTCGTTTTGCGCGAAACCTTTGCAACGACAATTGGCACCTCGTGAGCATGCCGTGGAAGTCGAAGGAAAGGGAGCCCTCGCCGGGGGGCTCGTAGCCTGGCAGCAGAACATCCCAGAAGTAACTTCTGGGGCTTGGCCGGTTTAGAACCCAGGATCCATTACTACCCTCGGTTTGCAATGCTCTACTAAAGATGTCCGGCCTCCTGTCTTGAAGGGCAGCAAGAAGGGCACCACGAAGACATCCTCGCCGCAAGGAATGCTTAAGCTCGCCTCTTCGATTTGCTCTGTCGGGAAAAGCATCCAGGACGCAAGTCCACTGTCAGGAATAGTTTTGTGGGCTGTCTTTCGATGATACTAACGATCTAGTCTCTCTCGAGCAGCTTGCTCCTTGTCTGCAAGTTTTAACCTTCTCAAGTTTTCTACTTCCTTCCGAGACTTGGTCCCCATAGTCTCCCTCAAAATCTTCCTTTCGTGCAATTCTCTTGTGTCTCTCCAGCAGATCATTCCTCTTTCCCAAAGTTTCTACCCTGTTTCGAGCCTCTTCCTCATAGTCTCCCTCACAGTCTTCCTTTTGTGCAATTCTCTAGTGTCTCTCCAGCAGATCGTTCCTCAAACAAAATTCTACCCTGTTTCGGGCCTCTTCCTCATAGTCTCCCTGAAAGTCTTCCTTTTGTAAAATTCTCTAGTCCCTCTCCAGCAGTTTGCTCCTCTTTCTCAGCATTTCTACTCCGTTTCGAGCCTGTTCCTCAAAGTCTCCCCTTTGTCAAACTATCGAGCCTTTGCTCCTCGTTCTCAAATTTTCTACTCCCTTGCGACCCCTGTTCCTCATTGTCTCCAGAGTCTTGCTGTTGTCAAATTCGCTCGTCTCTCTCGAGCGGTTTGCTACGCTAATTCTCGTTTCTCCAAGAACTGACAAAAGATCCAGTCTCTTTTCCTGCGGTTTGCTCCTGCTCCTCAACTCGTGTAGTCATGATACTTACAATGTCCCCTTTGTCAAGTTCTGTGGTCTCTCTCGACTCTATACTCTATTCTCAGTGTTATTTATTCCCTTGCGCACGGTTTACCCGTGTGTCTCACCGTCTCCCTTTTGTCAAATTCCTTTAATCACTGTTGAGCATTTTCTATCTCTCTCTCAACTTCCTATGCCCTTTCGACCGGTTTGCCCATGTTTCTCAAAGTCTCCCTTTTGTCAAATTCTCTCGTCTCCCTCGAGCAGTATGCTCCTGCTTGGTTTAATCTCTCCGGGCAGTTTGCTCCTCTTTCTCGAATTGTACATTCCGTAGTCTCTCTCGGGCAGTTTGCTACTGTTTCACAGTTTTCTTGTCCCTTTCGAGCGGTTTGTCATGTTTCTCAAAATCTCCCTTTTGTCAATTTACCTAGCCTCTCTTGAGCAACGTGCTCCTCTTTCTCAAATTATCTACTCCCGTTCGACAGGTTTGCCAATGGTTCTCAAATTCCCTCTTTTGTCGAATCCTCGCGCGTCGCACTCGAGATGCTCTCTCCGCTTTCTCATCTTTTCGATTCCCTTTCGAACGGTTTGCCCATGTTTGTCGAAGTCTCCACTTTGCCAAATTCTTTAGTTTCACTCGAGCAGATAGTAACACTCGGGCAGATTGCTCCGCTTTCTCAAAGTTTATACTTCCTTTCGACCGGTTTGCCCATGGTTCTCAAAGGCTGTCTTGCGAAGTTTTCTAGTCTCTCTCGAGCAGTTTGCTCCTCTATCTCAAACTTTCTACTTTCCCTTTCCTAGAAGTTTGTAGTCTCTCTTGAGCACTGTGCTCCTCATTCTGCAATTTTCCGGTTTGCCCATGTTTCCCATGGTCTATGATATACTGTAGCATACTCTTGTATAGTATTGAGCAGTTCGATCGGTGGTCGAAACTTCCAATCACCGGGTGCCGTCATCAGATAGGTGGTTGTCAAAATTATGGTCCCTTTTCGGGTCCTTATTATAATACGGCACCTATTATTTATGGTACCCCAAAAGGGACCATAATTTTGACAACTACCCAGATATAGATATAAAGCATTCTGCGGCACAGGAGATGGCAGGGTACTTAGAGTCTGGCCGAAGGCCGACACATGATGCTGCCGTACTTGTATGCATGAATTTGAGAGTGCGTCCTATGGGACTCTGACAGCAACCGAAGAAGAAGAAGAAGAAGTTCGATCGGTGGGTCTAAGCTCCCGATGCATCGTCGGCTCTCCTGGTCCGAGGAGGAGACCAGCAGATCGAAGCGCAGCATCAAGTTGATGAGAACTGGGATGTGGTCCACGAACCTGAAAGATGGGAGCCGCATGGATTGCAGTCAAAGATCGGGGCTCCTTGCAAGGCGCCTTTCCGACCGCCAGAGGTGCTGTCGCAGGAGGTCTACGTGGAGCTCGCCCCGCTCGAGGAGCCGCCTCGGAGGATATCGGCTCAGGGCCAGGGAGGCCCTCTGCGTGGAGCGTGGACCTGCCTTGCAGAGGCTGACCGACCTTGCACCACCCGAGGGCAATTGAAGATGTTGGCTGCAGCCTCTGCAGTTTTCAAGGACTGTCTCTTAGTGCATCTTCGCTCTGAATCTGTGCCTCAGCAAGCCAGTATGGGTCTAGCACGACGCAGTCCCGCAGCTTCTCCTCGTCGAAGAAAATGATGGATCCTGCCGGGTACTCTCTGTAATGGAAGAGCATGAATACGGAGCCGTCGCACAGGAGTTGATGCATTCATCATGCATCTCGGTCCTGTGTCATGTAGGTAGATCAACACCGAGAGTAACTCCCCTTCGTCATGAATTCCTACCTTGGCACGGCCATGCTCACCAACACGTGCTTCGGAAAGAGCCGAGAACAATCTGAATTGCGCATACAGCCGAGTCTACATGTCTCAGGTCCCTTTTCAGCCCTCTACAAATGCGAAACGCCGACATCTCTGGGCCCCCGACCGCCCGGCCCAGACGGGACACCTGTGAGAATGGCAGCGCGTGCACCGGCTTTGGCGGCCCGGACGAGGATGCGCCTGGCACGGAGGCCGGCGGAGGGCACTGGCAGCCGCAACGTCTTGGGTTAGCTTGCAGCTTTTTTCATGCCTGGCAAAAAAGGCCTTGAGGCACTAGTGAATCAACAGTACGAGTATCACAAGATTCACATGGCTCCTGCAGCTGGCATGGTGCCCTCGACGCTGGCAGTTCCTGGGCATCAAACCGTCTTGCTGCCAAACACTTCCATGCCGTAGCACAACAGCTGAAGGAAGCTGAGCCTGCTCTTCGCCCTCGCTTTGCATCCGAGGCTCCCCAAAAGCGATCTGGCCCCGCCCGGGCTAAACGGATCAGCTCTGTCCTGCTTTCAAGTTTGCTGCTGCACGTGTGCACCACATCCACTTCTTATGAAGTCGAGATCGGGATAGCGGCCCAAGGGTACATTAGCAAACCTTTACTTGCAAGAAAGCGGCTGGTAGCGAAGCCAGTAGAGCGGAAGCGCCTTTGACAAGAAGCCAGTTGTACAGATCTCCTCGGCTCAACAAGCACAGGTCTAGTCCAGCACACCTCTGAATGCAGGTCACAGGGAACGAAGGAGATGCTCTTGCGGAGACTCGCACCAACCACACCAACCGTCGATTCAAGCGAAGCTTCCGCTGCCGTCTCATCAATCTTGACGCGTAGGGACTCCACGGACTGTCGGCCGCGTCGCCGATTGTCGATGGGGAAGAAGCACAGCTCTTCCGCCGTGTTCACCTGTGGAATCAGTTATGGAACATGAGTCGAACCCTGCAGCCCATGTCTGCTAAGTTCAGGATTCAGCTGAACCCAAAAGGAAGAGCACTCCGGGAACAATCTGAGTCCTACAAAGAAGCTGTGAACACTGGTCAAGCTGAGCATCAACAAGCTGCTCATTGAGCGCTTGGTTTCTCTCCAGCCTCGGGCAGACCGTCAATTCAACAGCACACCGTGAAGAGCAACCGAAATAACCATGAGTTCAGATGTTAAGCGCGTGGTAACGAAAAGACCGCACTTGGCAGTAGGCCACACTGCCTACGGAAGCCAGCTAAAAGCTTCAGCCTGGTGCTTATGAACACAGCACGGGTTGTCATGTTCCACACCACGCCCCATGCGGTAACCAAGGCATAAAGCTGCATGTAGGGCAACGCATGTAACATTGACTCTGCAAGCCCTTTCCTTCAGCTGTGGAAACTCTCACGAAGTTCATGTAAACCAGAACGAGCATTCCACGACGCTTTGAAGCCCAGAACCACACTACGACGGATTGTCCGGGCCACAGCTCGTGGATTCGCCGGTCGACCTTCTCGAGAATAGCCATCTTGTGGGCTCCGAGCATGTCCACGTGCGTACCCACCTTACTTGGAGGTTCATGGGTAGTTATAAGTGGGGTCATAAGTAGGTGAACAATATATAAACAATAAACCCATATTAGGGGACTTATAACCTGACTTATAACTACCCATGAACCTCCAAGAGGACTTAAAAAGTACCCACCACATCTCATCATTATGCTGTCTGATAGGCCGCTTCTGGTTTTCACGCCTGCGAGCATGGGTGATGCCAAGATGCCAGCAGCATGCGCGACTCAGGAGCATGGCAGTGAACCTTTGCTTCGCCAAGACCATTGGGGTCTATTAGCCTGCAGCCTTCAGCGCGACCTTCTTCCAAAAGCCTGTGCCAACGGCTGGCTCGTGCTGCCCAAGCCACCGAACAGATCCAGAAAGTAAGGGCTTCCTGACTGAAAACTCGTCTTGCGAAAGACACTACAACCAGCAGAAGCAGACTGAGAAGAAAGATGCTGGGGCCTCAGATGTTCGGTCGTCGCCGGACCTTAGAAACTCAGAAGCATTCTTCCACCGCTCCCGTGCCCTCTTGCCCCTGCACCTGCCACACAAGTTCAGGATGTGCCTCGACTCAAGTCTTTCCCGCTGAGTGTGTCACTCGTCGGCCCACAGGCTGAGGTCAAATACGACGAGGTACAAGCCCTTGGAGAAGTTCAGTGTAGCGCAGAGGCGCAAGGAGTGGTGTGCTGCCTCTGCCTAACTTCAAGCAAAGCTGGAAAATCTGCGGATATCAGTCCAACCCTCTTGGCCTTGTTACTCAAGAAGAGGTGGTGGAGCATGTGGTATTCCTTCAGTCAGAAAGATGCACAGGTAGCGTCCCGACAACTCTGCTAGACTGGTACCTCTGTCCTGACTTGCCGGTCAGCTATGGATCCTTTATATTCTCCCAACTTAGCCAAGGAATGTAACGGCCCGAAAGCGTGGAAGGGTGGTGATGACGATACGTGAGAGACTTGCAAACGCAAGCAATGATGTCCTCCTGTCCCGCAAAATCGAAGGTTTGCAGGGTGATTGAGTCGTCCTCGGTGCCGTCATCCGACCTGTTGCTTTTGACACCACACAGGGCACAAGAGGAAATACGGGAACCATTCATCGCCACAAGCACTAGCAGAGTCACTAGCAAAAGATGACCAAAAGCCTATCTTGAGAAAGACTCCATACCTGCGCATGCTATGCAGAATCGAGAAAATGGGCATCAAGGAGTTGAGGAGTCATGTTACGCGCCTAACAACCCGCCTCTTATCTACCTGTGGTATATCACGCGACCACATCATCAAGATTCTGGGTTGGATCACTACACTCACTACCCACTCCAAGTGCAGATCGCACTCTATGCATCTCTGTTCGCCTTGTCGGGGCTTCAGCGCTGAGCTCTCCACCTCATGTGCTTGATGACCAGATCCACTGGCATCTTGAAGCTGCGATGCTCCCCATCCTGCTCAGCTCGTCTCGGCGAGCACTGCTGCCTCTGCGTCAAGCCCTTCGAAGAAGTACCCCTCTGCCCTCCGTCGGTCAAATTCCTCCGATCCACCACAAGAGAGCCCAAGCCCCACCTGGCTGGGCACGGAGCTCCATCCAGCCGGTCTCGGCCGTGTCCTTTCCGGCGTCGTCGCCCGGGCCTTCGGGACTGATGACTAGGGTGAAACACCCGAAGAGTTGGGGCGGCAATTCTCACATCCGTAGTCAACCCACTTGAGGGGTCTCTCATTCTGACGGTTTGCGTTGATGCACAGTTTTCAGCCGTTCCCTCCCTCAGAATCACTTGCCGCGACATTTTGGAAGAGTTCAGAGCCGTCACGCTTCAGGAAGAATGACGTTGCCTTGATGTGTGGGCCGAAACCGTGCAAAAGAGTGAAGGTCAGAATCAGGTTGTGGCGGAATGTGAAAACCGAAACCCCAAACTCTCAACCCTTATGTTTACAATGGGCTTCGTTCTTTGCAGGCGGGTGATTTCCAGTACAGCAAGCGGGCATCAAAAGACAACATTGACCTGTGGTGTGTTCTGTGGCAAATGCGCAATGAAATTGCTGGCGGCAGATGCGCGAAGTCAAGTCATCAGCTTCTTCATTCACTCACAGACCCAGTGTCCAAATGGATGGCGCAGCATAACAATCAGGTGGATGCTTTTGCCAAAGAAGCTCAAGTACGCTCACTTCAACTGCAACTCTTCCGTGCTGACGATCTTCGAAAACAACAAATGAGGAAGGTACATCATGTCCACACAATTGACCCATCCATCACTCGCGCGAGTAAGGCTTCATGCCGATGCAAACCCACAAACCCACCACCTCCCCCTCCTCGAACACATGGCGTCTAAGTTCATTTGCAACGGTTGGTAGCGTGTGCTTCGTTTCATGTGGTGGGATTGGGTGAGCCTGTGGATTGTTGAAGCTGGGTCATGTCCGGAGTTTTTGCAAATGTTCTCCTACAGCTTATGCTTCGGCAACTATGGGTGCACGATGATGTAGGGATAAGTCGCTTGGAATTCTGCTTTTGGCTTCTATCTGCCACTGGTTGGTTTGTGCCGGTTAGTGTTGGGAAGTGGGTTCCTCATTTCCAAATCCATATCATGTCCAACTCGGCTCGCGCTGTTTGGGTACATGGGGGTTTCCGAAAATAGGGGACCCTAATATAGTACCCTACATAGTGGGATCCTTATTATAAGGACCCCAAAATGAATGTCCCCCCTTATTGTCGGAAACTCCCACATGAGTCTCAATGTTCTCGATTATCCCTTCAGAGGCAATCCTTTTCAGCACAGATCACGACATTTCGACAGGGCTCTTTTGCGGCGGTTGGGTGATCCTCCATTTGGTCTCTGGGCCCTTTCTGGTATCCCTGGGAGTTCGCAACGTGCTTCCTGGTAGTTCTCTGAATGGGAAGGCCTTAGAGAAGATCCGTCTTATGGTAGCTTCTCATTCCTTTGCAGGCATTATGAGAACACAGTTCCCAGTTAAAGTCAATCCTGTAGTCTCTGACGCGCAATTACTTCATCCAGGGTCAGTGTGGTCAGCGTCCAGGCGAGCTCACCGGCAAGCTCAACAGGGCTGACTTAATTCGTAAAGTTTCATTCGCAGTGGACCCATAAGTCATCCTGCTTCTGGATCGTCCGTGTGGCATCTTGCATGAACCCTCAACCCGAAATTCGTAAAACGACAAGACCGGAACCCTCCTGCCTCTGCATCTGGCTCCGCATCCTGCCGCAGAGAAAGAGGACATGCTCCGGAAGGGTCTTACGAAGTTGACTCGCCTCCCAAACTTACCAAACCCCAAACCCCGTAATCTACCACATGTTCCATGCACTGCATGTGCCACTCCGAACAAGAAACAAAGAAGCAGATGAGTGTAAGGATAAGGCCTAGGGCCCAGGTATGGAGAAACCGCACAAGTCACAAGCTTGATTAACTGCTATATATCGACTCTAAACCCTAAACACCGAACCCTACGTGTAAACCCTACCAGTAGTCCCCAAAACCCGCCTCGGGTGAGTTGTCCCGCCGTAGCGCCGCCGCAACATGCCGGGCCACGACGGAGTCGAAGTCCGATGTGGGGAAGCGCCTCCGAAATGGGACAACGTTTTGTGCCTCAGGGGCTGTAGGGCTTCTGGTGTGCAGGCTCAGGATTTAGGTGCTGAGACATGAAAAGCCAAGCAAAGACAATTTCTTTGGGCCTCATCCGTCTCCACTCGCTGCTCCCCCGTCTAGGAGACGTTGTCTCGAATCGCCGCTCCTATCACAGGAAACAGGTGCCAAGGAAACCATCACCTCGTGGAAGGGCCCCATGCTGACTCGTCGTTCTTACGCAGTGTCAGTGCGTATTCTGCCCCAACACATCTGAGCTCACCAAAGCGCACGACACACCCCTCGGCGCACCGTGGTGCAAACGGCGCCCGCAACGCCATGGGTTGAGGCTTCCGAGGCATCGAAGGCCTCACAGGGCCAGGGGACACAATGCCAACATGCAGTCACTGGCCGATGCTCGCACTGAACTGAGACCTTGCAGCAGAAGCTTCTCCTATGCTGGTGTGGCAACCTTGCAACAGCTCACAACATGAAAGGCCTCGTTGCAGAGTGATTTCAACGTCGACGTCTTGCCTCCATCTGTCTTTCACGGAGTGCATCCGTAGATTTCTTGAACATCGACAACAGTCTGGATGTGCCGGAGATGCCAGAGCTCTGTCAGATTTGCAGATGTTCGTGCCCCCCTCGGACTATCCATAAGAAGACCGCAAAATCAGCATGGTTTCACTCAGCCCCCCGTCACCCTGTGTGTCAGTCCGGCCATGCACCCAGGCCTGCGCGGCCTCGACCAACGAACATGACCTTTAAGGTCCTGCGGCAGTGATGAAGCCAGGCCGAAGACTCAGGAAGGTCACCAGAGGATGATGACTGTGGGCTACAGTAGCCAACAGTTACACTCAGGCCAGCGACGTTTTCCAGGTGAAGAAGCAGCTTGAGCTGTGTGTCTGCAGGAGCCTCTGTACAACCTCATGCTACTTTACCGTTTAACCTCCACACATCCGACTTGCGGAGTTCGAGCAAAACTGAACGGTCAACACCGTCAATGCTGTACACTGTACATTCGAAGTGCTCAGGGCTGGCGCCTGCGCACTGCACGTCGGGCCAGGAAAGCCCGCGCAGAGGAGAAATTCTTGGTCGAGGCCGCCGGCTTGGGCTCCAGCCGCGTCCGCGGCCCCTTCAAGCCCGCCTTTGGCTTCCTGTTCCTGTCTAGCTCCAGAGCCCGTGCCCGGAGAAGAGCCGAGCGTCTCGCAGAATGTGGACGGACTGGCGGGAGCAGCACAGCACCGGCTGTAGCATGGCCTGAGAATGTCGCCTCGAACAAGGGCGCCACCAGCCCCTCCTTCTGGAAGATGCGAGCGTGGCTGGTATAGTACACATCTCCTGAGCGACCCATGGGTTGAGTCGCTCCGCTCTTCTCGTCAATCACACCACAAACGAGCACTGGTCGTAGAGGGCCCCGCGAATAATTCATGGACATGCTGGCATTCTGCACATAGGCTGTGTAGATGCCGGGCCCATAGGCCGATCCGTTCACAACCCTAAGACCATTGTGATTCCCAGGAATCAGCAAGCCGCGTGAATAGATGGAGCGGAGATTGGACTGGTTTGTCCCATGCAGTGCCGGTTGAAGTGCATCCGGCTTCTTGGATGTCAAACGCGCATCCATAAACATCCGCTGCACCTCCCTGTCAATCGGTGCAGGCCTCAGATCCCAGACTCCATTGTAGCAGCTTGAGAGAGCCGAGCAGATAGAGGGGCCGAAGTCTTTCAAGAATCCCCACCGCAGCTTTTCAAAGGCTGGAGCTGCTTCTTTCAAACTCGCGTCATCATAACGTACACGCGCCCGATGAAGGCGACCCAGGTCATCGAGAAACTTCACTTCATTGCTAAGGGCAGCCTTCTGGCTGGGGCGGCTTTGACTACCACCCTGCCTTTCGGCTGACTCTTTGCCTTTGCCCTCTGCTACATTCACCACTTTTGCAACGTACTCCTTGGCCCCTCGCTCCGCCCGGCGCAGGGCCGCCTGCCACGGGGAGAGGTCGATCTTTGGAGCGCAAGGGCGGCTCGGCGCCGGCGTGGTTGGCTCCAAGAACTCCCAGCCAAAGTCCGAAGCGGTGGAAGCAGTGCCGAAGCCTGCTGTCGTAGAGGAGCAGACAGATGCCACCTCCAGATCCTCCCACTTGGCCTCCAAAGAACCAACATGCTCCAAAGACAGAACAAGGCTGTCCTCCCAGTCGCTCTCCAGCTCTTCGCTTTCGCACACCGCCTCCCGCATCCACCGTCTCAAGTTGTTGCGGCGGGTCTGCGGATGGTAGTCGCTACCATACTTGCCCAAATAGTCTGGGTCCCGCCATGCATTACGGCTGCCAGAGTGCACGCTGCGCTTCGCCGCCGATCGGCCCAATCCGACCTGACGTCCACGCTCAAAGGAATTAATAGCCTTTAAATCTTCGAGGCACTGCAAAAACTATGTGCAACATCTGACTTCATTTTTCGAGGACCAAGGTCGGGCCGCTCGTTTGCTGCCGAGGGACCTCCTCGCTTGCCTTCCCCATCTTTTTGGGGTTCCGGCAGCTCGCAGCGTCCAATCGCTTGCGGTGGCCGCGCTTCATGGACCAGCCCCGCGAGGGGCCGAGGCAATCGAAGCCCAAATCATCAAATCCATCCAGACACAGATCCATGGCAGAACTCTCCTAGAGACCGTGCCTTTCACCTCTGCGGCCTCAGAGCCGAGTGCTTTCGGACCAAGCCATCGAGACTGCATCCCTCCGCAGCTTCACGACTTTCCTGTTTTGTGCCTTGCGATGCCTTGCAACTTGATGTATCTCGACGTTCGTTGCCGGCCACCTCCTGTACAATATATCGGATGCTCAATAAGCAGGCATCCTTGTCGTAACTCAACAAACCTCGACTCCAAAATCACGGGCGCCCTGGGCAAATCAGGGGTACCACACTCCACGATCGTCGACCGTTCGGTGGAAGCTGTACACTGTACATTCGATTCGCTCACGTTTGACGCTTGCGCGCTGCACGGCGGGCCAAAAAGGCCTGAGAGCGCGAAATCGTCACTGCTGGCCTCGGACCTAAAATCGTCAATGTGGGCCTCAGCCGAGTCCGAGGCCCAGGGCCCTTTGGCTTTGGATCCGGTGGAAGGATCCGGCGAGGGGGTGCCACAACAGTGGGCTTTGGCACAGTGCAGCTAGCAGAAGCGGCAGAAGCGGGGATGCTGTCAAGGGATGCTTCGAACAGCGGCGAAACGAGGTCGTCCTTAAAGAAGATGCGCGCTGAATGTGTGTAGGTCACCAGGCTTGAGCTTTTATCCGGACCCGTCTTTCTCGTACTTGGATCCAAAACACCGCAGACAAGTACTGGCCTAGATACACCGCGGGCATAAGACCAGGACAAGGCTGCATCCTTGAGGTAGGCCGTGTAGATTCCAACACCATGCACGGATCCGTTCACCACCCTCACACCGTTCCCTTTCTCACCTGGGATGAGAAGCCCTCGGGAATAGATGGAGGACAGGTTGGACTCGTTTGTGCCGTGCAGGGCCGGCTGCAGCTCGCCTTCCGCTGCTCGATCGCAGGCACTGAGAAATCGGTCCTCTGCAAACACATCTTGTGCGCTCTCGCTACTGTATTACAACAACAACAACAACAACCTGGGGAGGTCTCTTGACAAGTTTGTATCCTTCTGGCTCCCGTCTTGTGCACGTGACAAACGAAACTGCAGTCCTCCACAGCTTGAGCCACTGGTGCAGGCTTCAAGTGCCACTTCCGGCCACAACCCAGGTACAGGCAAGAAAGAGAAGCGCAGAAGGCATTGGCATGATCCTTCAGAAACTTCCATCGAAGCTTTTCGAACGGCGTGGTAGGGCCCGTGGATGGCAAATCATAGTGAAGGCTCACTTGGTACTTGCTTTTCAGCTCGTCTGCTAGCTTCTGTGTCTCGGTCTTTTCAACGACCGGGACCCGCTTGTAACGCCTCCTTCTCTGACTTTGCTCGGTGCCTGTGCTTTCTGCATGTCCTGATTGCTGCGCATACTCCTTGGCCCCTCGCTCCGCTCGGCGCAGGGCCGCCTGCCACGGGGAGAGGTCGATCTTTGGAGCGCAAGGGCGGCTCGGAGCCGGCGTGGTTGGCTCCAAGAACTCCCAGCCAAAGTCCGAAGCGGTGGAAGCAGTGCCGAAGCCTGCTGTCGTAGAGGAGCAGACAGATGCCACCTCCAGATCCTCCCACTTGGCCTCCAAAGAACCAACATGCTCCAAAGACAGAACAAGGCTGTCCTCCCAGTCGCTCTCCAGCTCTTCGCTTTCGCACACCGCCTCCCGCATCCACCGTCTCAAGTTATTGCGGCGGGTCTGCGGATGGTAGTCGCTACCATACTTGCCCAAATAGTCTGGGTCCCGCCATGCATTACGGCTGCCAGAGTTCACGCTGCGCTTCGCCGCCGATCGGCCCAATCCGACCTGACGTCCACGCTCAAAGGAATTAATAGCCTTTAAATCTTCGAGGCACTGCAAAAACTATGTGCAACATCTGACTTCATTTTTCGAGGACCCAAGCTCAGGCCGCTCGTTTGCTGCCGAGGGACCTCCTCGCTTGCCTTCCCCATCTTTTTGGGGTTCCGGCAGCTCGCAGCGTCCAATCGCTTGCGGTGGCCGCGCTTCATGGACCAGCCACGCGAGGGGCCGAGGCAATCGAAGCCCAAATCATCAAATCCATCCAGACACAGATCCATGGCTCCACGATGCAACGAAGCTCACCACAGGACAGAACTCTCCTAGAGACCGTGCCTTTCACCTCTGCGGCCTCAGAGCCGAGTGCTTTCGGATCAGACACAGGGCCATGCAACGCTTGAGGCATGCAAGCTAGCCTGTCTTGCCGCTTCTTACGGCGTGATCCGGCCCTCACGTGCGGGTCTCTCCTGGGTTGGGCCTTGCCCTTTGCCAGCGCCTCTCGGAATTTTCGTTGTGCGCGATCGCCTTCCAACGCAGGATGCACTAGGACTAGGATCACCAGGAATCTGTGCAAGTTATGACATCACAGCAGCCACCTCGGGCCAAGATCTCATGGGGGATGCCACTGGTCTCTTTCGCGGCTGTACCGGCCGAAACTCTCCTGCCGATGCGACGCATCTTCGGAGACCCTGAAGATCCTCGACTCATCGGGCCTCCCGTGCAGGCCCAAACTCATGGGACCCTGCGAACTGGAAGTGGAAGGAGTCCGTGCCGAAGCATCCCGCTCCGCTCGCCTTGGGGGCTCTCATGTCTGCAACTCTCTCGGAAGCTTCGCAGCGACCCGCTCTCTGCCCACTTTGCGTCCCCGGCCTGACTACCGGGAAGTGCGTCGCGTGAGGCGGCTTCCGTGGCCGAGGTGAGGCGGAGCCCCGGAAGGGGACATCGATAGCCGGGAGCTCCTGAAAGCTCGTGAAGCATCAGAACATGATGTGACACTGCTTGCTGCTGGCAGTCTTCTTCTTGGTTACAACATCTGCCACCATATTACGGGTCTCTGTAGCGGTTCTTCTCTTCGCATTCAAGCCTCGATGCCCTCACTACCACCTGGCACTGACTGTCTTCTGCAAGATCCTTGCCGAAGCCTTGCAACATGCTGCAACGTATAGATATTCCTAAAAGAGTGGGACGAGCAGATTTATGTCCTTTGTCTGCTTTGCATCTTGATTGCCTCTAAACCTGAAGAGTAAGTGGCAGAAGAGGGAAGCGCTCCGTGCCAATGGGCGATGCTGATGCTGAAGGACTCCGACCACCTCCTGGCATCGGGCAAAATCGCTCTCTTGTCAGTTATGTAAAGTTATGTAGAGTCCCTTTAGGGACTGTCGAGCGTATCGGACTGAGCCGTGCACTCCCCAGCCTTGTCCTGTTGGGGGAACAGTCCCAAATACAACAGAAGCTGGGGTCCTCCGAGAGTCAGCAACTTCGGCGATGGCGAAATGCGCGTGGTGGGAGTGGCATCGGCATCGCGGCTCAACCTGTCCAGCTGCGCTCTCCCTGATTCTCGCCAAAATCCTCGTCAATCCCACCTACTCTTCGAGGGGCTGCTGCCGCCGCTTGGCCGGTGCGCCATGCCATTGGGACTCTGTAGCCATGGGGAGTAGCTGACGCTGTAATGGCCAAGTTCAGGATCTGCCCCTTTCAGCTGAGGGTTCCAAGCGGGAAGTTGGTATGGATAAGGCTTGAGTTTGGACTCGATAAAGGTGGGAAGTTGGGCTGCGCGTCCCGGTCTTGTGGAGTCGCTAAATAAGTGAGTGATAGGTCTACCTTTGCGACGTATGTCGAGTGCTTAAAAGCTGCAGCACAGCGTGAGTTCGCTAAGTAGCTGCGGCAACAGCAGCATTAGCATTAGCATCAGGGGCAGAAGCAGGAGGAGCACCAGCACAACCACAACCGTCCCCATCACCATTCCCAACATCATCATGATCATCATCATCATCAAAATAGTGATGAGTCTGAGCGCGGATGTACAGACCGGATTTTCGCATTCGCACCACGCCGACGGGCCGAGGCTTCGTTCGAGGCGGACCCGATGGTCGGCAAGGAATTTGGAGCGCCGTATCCAAGCCCGTGCATAAGCAAGTACCGCTGGCAGGGAAGCTCAGGGGAAGCTTTCATGACCTGTACTCAGACTCCAGACTGAGGTCTAGTTGAGGCTCCGTGCCTGCATCTGTTTGTCTGTATGGTTTGCGCGTGGTTCTGTGCACGTATATACGTACCTAATTGAACAAGTTGGTGTGAATAGGAAGGATGTACAAGCACACGTAAGCACATGCGCAAGTGCGGGTGCACGCACGCAAGTAAATAAGTGCATGTGTGCCAACCTATCTTCCAATCTGCAGTTCCACACCGGTCCCTAAAATTTGCATGATTAGAACTTGTCTATAACTAACTAGGGTTACTAGCAGATATATCGTTGTGTAGGTGCATGCGTACATACACGCATGCATAGATAGATAGATAGAAAGATAGATAGATAGATAGATAGATAGATAGATATATACATGTCTGCATACATACATACATACATACATACATACATGCATGCATGCATGCATGCATGCATGCATGCATGCATGCATGCATGCATGCATACCAACATGCACACATGCATACATGCATGCATACATACATACATGCAAACATACATACATTCATACATGCATACACGCATATGTGCATGACCGGCCCATGTACAAAGATGACTGTCTATCCTCCTGTATGTCTAAGCCGACGTGTAACTGTGTATCGATGTTTACCTAGTATATACATCAATAAACAAGGCTGCTGTTCGCTGAGCTGAGCCAATGCACGTATACATAGATCCACAAATGGGGATAGATGGGCAGGGGGTAGCCAAACACATACTGATACTGAGGACTCACTATAGGGCAAGTGAGAAATTCATTTGTAAGACATCTTGGCGTCCGTAAAGACGGCAAAGGCAAAGATGCGCAGCGCCGCAAATTCGGGCACTCCAAAACTTGCACTGGCAGTCATTTGGCGACAAATATGTCTTTCCACTTGCGTGGTGTAGCTGTCTAGCTTCAAGTCCAAAGCAGCATGCACTGCCACTCAAGGTTCTCTGAGCAACCATTAAAACCCCTTTGAGGCCCTCTTTGAGGTGCTCTCAGTACAGCTCTGCTGTCCAGCTGTACTGTAGCTTGCGATAGCACTTGAGCCATCCAACAAAGAATTTCTATCGGTCCTTCATCCGAGTCCTCTCCGTTCCCAGCCCTGTGGCACCATAAACACACATGCTCTGCTGGCCCATGTGCATACATAAATTGCAACGAGTCACAGACGAATTCTCAACTTCGAGGTGCAGCACATGCCTTGTCACACGCTGAACATTCGACTGGTACCTTGGGCATCCGTCACGCATGTCTCATTAACTGGAAAGGGTGAACTGATGTATAAGACCAAGATCTCGGCCGAGTGTGGCCAGGGGCTTCGGCAAGGTCTCTCGCCGCGCCTGCAAAATGACAGGCGGCAACAGCATCTGCTTGCAAGAACGGTCCTCCCGTGCCCGCCTCATGCCATGCAACCATGGCCGTGTTGGTCTGCTGGTCTCCTGGAGACATGTCTCACGACTCTTGCTAGTCTGGGTATGGCCGACTTCATCCGAATCCACCCTTTTGCACGCTGACGCGACAATGGGTCTTGGTTGTGCCACACAGACGGGGCGTGGCACAAGCACAGAGCCAAATTGTCGGGAAGTTGCCACGGCCAAGGCTTCCGAACACCAAACATACCATATTCAATATACTATGTACTATATACTGTATACTATATACTATATACTATAATTATACTATATACTATATACTATATACTACCTGGAGACAAATTCCAAAAGGCAGACCAGCAGACATCAGCAGACCTGCCTTCATCCACCACAGCCCGGCCCTGGCCACGGAGACGCCAATTTTGGAAGTTTGATAGGGCTGAATTGAAGGTTGTCGTTTTCGATGATTCAGTTTCTCCATCTGATTGCAACCATGACCATGGTTGCTGCTGCACGCGTTTTGCGTTCTCCGAAATCTGCTGCCAGAGCTGTTGCTGCTGCCTGTGACCCTGCTTGGGGTTCTTGCGGCCAAGGCCTGCTGCCCAGCCGCCACCAACTGCCTGTGCGTCTCCTCTCAACAAGGCGTGTGAGGAAGGCAAGGGATGACAAGACGGACAGCAGGTTCGGTTTTACGAGTGATTGCTGCTGTGGTGATAATGCATCATCATCATCATCAGCAGCAGCAGCAGCAATGGAGCAATATAGCAGTGGCATCAGCCCTAGCAGCAACAGAAGTAGCAATACCAAGCAGCGAATGTGGACGCATATGGGCTCCGAATCCCTGCACGTCCTGCGCCTCGAGCACATTCAGGTGTGCGACCTGACAGATACTCCGCCCTAAGCCCTCAAGGCTCAAAGCTGAAATCCGAGCCCTTAGTCCATTTAAGCCTCCAACCAACCCCCAACCCCTAACTACGCTTGACCACTCGGAGACTTAGTAACTTCAACATCTTACTCAGGCTCTTGGGACCGGGCTGCTTGCGAGCAGGTAAAGCTATGAATGGCGAAACCTGCCAGCCCGATCCTCGGTCGAAGCTGCGCAGAGCAACACGGGTTTAGGGTTTAGGGTTTAGGTTTTAGGGTTTAGGGTTTAAGAAGGCCTCCTTACATGACTGGATCTGGCCGAATACCTCTCGCGCTGTACGCAAGTGCATTTTTTTGCATACATGTACATGTGACAGAGAGAGAAAATCAGCCTGTATGTATACATCTTTCACTCTCCTGCATCTATGTGTGTGTGTGTATATATATATATATGTGTGTGTGTGTGTGTGTAACTTGCTGTTTGTGATGACTATATACACGTATTTATTTGTATTAATACAGGTATAGATGTATGCATGGGTTTATTTCTATTTAAGCAAGACATGCACATAGATGTGCTTTGTCGTCAGTCCCCGCCCGCCGGCATGTATGCAGGAACCGCGTGAGCTTGAAACTTTATTCAAATTCTACTCTACACTACATCCGCATTCTGGGCCGGAGCAATGCTCAGCCCATGACAGCATCGGTGCTATCATGCCCAACTCGCAGTAACTGGCCAAACAGAATGGAGGTTTCATCAAGGCGGCTTCAGCATGCCCATGGTCACAACCTCTTCACAACTGTGGCCCGAAGAAGCATGCAAGCTGTACAAGGTGGCAAACTGCTCCGCAATCACGGACCTCAGCAGGGACGATCGAAGAGTTTTGATCTGGACAAGTGCTTTTTATGCAGCTCTGCTTTTCGATTCTGGGCAGCTGGCACGAGGCCCCAAGGGCCCCTCGAAAAAGCGCCGGAGCAGCCACACCAGATCTGCCAGAGAAACGGAAAGGCCCCGTTCCATGACTTGCAAAAATGCGAGCCTCTGGGGCCATCTCCACGGGGATGCCATCCTGTCCAAAAACATCTATATGTATCAATGTCCGGCACAGCAGCATTGAGTGTACGAGTAGAGTTTCAGTAGACGCTGCCTTTCCTTACAGTGGCTTGCCTCAGTTCACCTTACCAGGAACTGCATTCTCTTTGCATCGTGAGGTCACAGCGCAGCATAGCAAAGCATAGCGTAGCAGAGCATTGTAGAGCAGAGCATCGCGTCGCATAGTTTGGCACAGGGCTTGGTGTAGAGTAGGACATAGCAAAGCAGATGTGGCACAGCGTGACGCATGACATCATGATGTTCCCTCCCGATTGCTGCAAGACAGATCAGAACATAGAAAACCTCCGGGCCTTCATCACCGGCGCCGAAGAGGTGCAATTCCGTGGCTCGGCGGCCTTGCGTGCTGTCTCCAACGGTGATTTCGAGAGAGCTAGGCGTATGTTCTTGCAGCCAAATCGAGTTTTGCCACAACAGAAGCCATGCTTCGATCATGGTAAACTGTAAACAGCCCAGCGTTCCGTGAGATTTTCGTGTCTGCGACGCTTCGGAAGCCCATAGAGACTTCTGACTCATGTCTGAACCCACCCAGCCATCCCTTCAACCCTTTCCACTATCTTTTTTCAGCCGGCGGCCAAGATCTTCGTCGCGCAGCTCCAAAGGCCGCCTCCGTGTCCGTGGCCTGTAAGGCCTGACCTCCGGGAGTGTTTTTCAGACTTGCTGTTGTGACTGCCGTCTGCAATGCTACGGCTGCTGCTGCTGCTGCTACCACTCCCTCCTCCTCCTCCTGCTCTGGAAGCGGGAAGTGCTCTGTTCGTCTTCGTGGTGTTACGCTCGGTGTCGAGGCGGTGATGACGATGATGACGATGATGATGATGATGATGGTGCTGACGACGACGATGATGCCACCATTGATGCTGTATCACGCGTGTTGCGATTCCTAACGTTTCATGCCTGATGGCATCGTCACTGCCCTGTCTCATTCCATCCCTGGTCTCAGGCCCGTGCTGAGTCCACAGCAAGCATGCCCGTGGATTCATTCCTTGCAGGGGCCCGTCCCGGCTGTAGCCGAAGCATTCGTCGTGGAGCGAACACAGCAGTCGACCTCAAGACTGACGAAAAGATGAGGAAAACTTCCTTGCCAACTGGGTCGGAAATTAGTGTTCAGGTGATTCAAGTGTGCACAGACGTGGCATCCGACCGGCTCTAGCTCTCACTCAGTACAGAGCAACTACATCACCCAGCGAAATCCATGCAAGACCCAGGTTCATCTAGGACTCAGCCCCGAACGGCCCCCGTCCATCTGACCGGACGCTGGTCAAGACATCTAGTCTCTAAGTGAAACAACGACCCTCGCCGGAGGGCTAAGGTTCAAAAGCGAACTTCAGACCTCTAAGTTGGCCAGCATGTGCAAGAGCTCCGTGGCCCATCAAGGAATCACCTCAAAGCCCGCATCTTCACTTCAAAGACGCAGGGCTTCGCCAGGTGCGTCAGGTATGTACAATGCTCTCCCCTCACTGCTGCATCGCCCTTGGCTTGCAAGGGCATTTTGTGAAATTCACTCCTTCGGCTCTGTCGCCTCTGCCGCTGTCGAAAGCATGGCTCCACTGATCCGGAGGGCTCCACGAGCTGCGCCAGTCATGTTGACGGCGTCGGGCCCCAACTCCAGCGCCGCGAGGTTGCCCATCAGATACCTCAGCTGTTCTTAACATGTTACAAAACCCAGTATATGTGTATTTACGTATGCACATATGTCCTTATGCTTAAATTTAATGGTTTTGGATCTTCGAACCTTCGATTCAAGCCTGTTCTGTTTGGACAGCTGCCCAAGCTACACTGGCAGTTTGCCCCATTGAAGATTGTAAGTGACGGCCGGTAGGCCCCCATGCATGGGCAGAGGGTGGACCTCTTGCAACCCTGAAAGCAGTGGATCTGTCGCAGCATCCACGAGCGCACCGGTAGCGCAGATGAGATAATCCGCCTCCATCACATCGCCGGTGCTGAGGGCCACCGTCCAAGAACCATCGAAGGATGCAGTCGCTATCTCCGTCCACTCATGGACCGCAACTAACCCCTTCGCCTCCAGCTGCGACACTTCCGCATCCAGTTCAGGCGAAACGGATCCACCATCACGGGCAGCTCGGTTTTTGGCCAAGCGCTCCTCAATCGAAGCTTGCTCGTATTCTCGTCGCTGTTCCCGTCGCTTCCACCCCATCCACGACAAGCCAAGATCGTACTGCTTGACTTTTCGTTCCCTGCGGATCAGCAAATCTATGTGGCCGCGACCTGCAAGCTGTGTGCATAGATGTGCCGAGGACAAGCCACCACCAACGATGATACCTCTGCCTCGCAGGGCAGCGACCTGCTCAGGCTTGTCGAAGAGGTCCCAGGTATGTCGGATCTCAGCCAGTGCGGCGGCATCCAAGAGTTTGTAAAAGGCGGGCCACTGGCGACGCCAGGTAGGGCCCCGTGCGACGACCACGTGGTTCGCAAGAACAGTTTGCAGAGTGTCCCCAGCTGTTCGGAGTGACACTTCTATGCCTGAACCACAAGCCGATGGCCGCATCGACTCTGCATGAGCAGGCCAAATGCGCTTGTCCAGACCGCCCAACTTCACCAGATCCCGGCAAAAGTCGAGCATCATCCGGTTCGAAGGCAACACAAAGGGGCCATGATAAGCCTTGTCCTTAGGTAAGTTCTCCAGGAACAGGAAGTCGTTGCGGCTCTTAGCGGCCGCCCAGACGGACAGCGTGGAATGGTCGAAAGCATCCGGGTGCATCATCTCGTGCGACCTCAGGAACGGAATGGCCAAGGCGTCGAATTGGTTTCGCCAGCGCTCCATCCATGATCCAGTGCTGTCCACCACGGCAAAGTTGCGGCTGCGTTGGGCCCGTGATTTCTGGAGGTGCGCTCGCACCTCCTTGGGCCGGCGAATGTAGCTCTCCTGCGGAGGGATGACGTCCGCCATGGCCTCGTCGCCCAGAATCAAGCGGCTAGCCATTGCCAGACCATGGGGCCCTGCGCCGATGATCCTTGGAACTTCTCAGTGTGCTGTGGGCTTTCTAACATTTCACGAAGCAAACACCTTCCCCGGCACGCGGAAGACAGAAGGATGCATGAATGACTCCAAGGATCAGCACATCCACGGCATCTGGTAGGGGTGGCCGCTCGCGCACTTTCTGTTTGGGGGCCATCGAAGGCCATGTGCAAGCCGGTTCTGCGAGCCAAAATTTGCTGGCTCGGGACGTGGCGGAGGCCTCCATGCGAATGTGAAACCTTAAGTAACCAGCCTGCCCACTGACAGCGCTGTCTGCCTGAATGTAACACATAGCATGTTGTATCTGGTTGCAGGCATCATAAAGAGATACTATGGCTGGGGAACATGAAGGGGAAAGAGGAATCGCACAGAGACCACAAAAGCCAAACACGTGTGCATTCCAAGCCCGACAAAGGCCTTTACTGCAGAGCCCAAACCTTTGACCTCAATCCCAACCCTTGAATCCCAACTCCGAAACCCCCAAATCCCAGCCCAAAAGTGGAACCCGAGGACCCGGGCAGTCGCTGTCTGTCGCCTCTTCGAAGCGCACGAAAGAAGGCTCCTCTCCGGTGGGGAGGATGCACCTGGGTCCCATGATGTACAGAAGTGTTGAAACCGAAAACAAATGGCTGCAAAATCCCGCCAGAGCAGTCTTGAAACCTTCCTTCCGCTTGCAAGCGGGCCCGCAATGATGCGATTCCGCTCTTCCTTCTGTGGCGCGGGATGCTCGAGGATTACAGCTTGACCATGAGGACAAGGCACTTTCCAGTCATTTCCACAGTTTGGCCCATCATGGCGCCATGATAAGTGTACATCACCTCCTGCACAGCAGTGTGAAATCAACCGAGGGCACATTCCAATGTTTTGGAGACGGTGGGGAGGAATTTGCACAGTGGGTGGTGGGAGAAACACTCGGAGGAAGCAGAGCTCTGCTGTCAGATCGGATGCGCCTCGGCTTGCTGTATCTCCACGGCCGTGAAGTTTGCTAGGAGCGGCGAGGGTGTCGTGGTAGTGGTCTGCCGATCAGAAAATGGCACAGATACGTTTCAAGACCATTGAATCTGATGCTGCGGTATGAACGTCTATACATCCCTCCCTCCTCCATCTCTCCCTCCATATCGCTCCATCCATGCATCCATCCGTCCGTCCATCCGTTCGTCCGTTCATCCATCCATGAATGCATACATGCATTTATGCATACATGTATACATGCATACATACTCAAATTACAAAAACACACATACGCACATACGCACACATATGCGCACACGCGCATACACATAGACACGTTCGTGCACACATACACACACACACACATGCATACACGTACACACATACATACATGGCGCCCCCCCCCCCGCCCCCCCAAGTACCTATCTGTTTCCTGTGTTTCCTGAACAGGTCTCTCTCACACAGTCCCAAAGCCGCGAGATCGTGCTCTCCCACAGAGTCCCAAAGACGCGAGATCGTGCTTTCCCGCACAGTCCCAAAGCCGCGAAAGCGTGCTCTCCCACACCGTCTCATCACAACCAGGAGCCCAATGTTCTGGGTTCAAAACAGTGGGACCTCTCAGCCTCTCAGCACTTTCGCACGCCGGGACGCCCAAAACCATCAGAGGTCCCAATGTTTTGGGCTCCTATGCGTTCAAAACATTGGGACCTCTCCACACTTTCGCGCTCGAAGATGTCGAAAACCATGAGAGTGTTCAAAGCTTTGGGCCTCTATACCACCAAAACATGGGAACGCTCGGCACGTCTCCGCACCTGTGCTCTCCCATATTATAGCTAACTGATGTTCGGTGAATTCTGCGACTGCGACCAACTGTTTTTTTATCTAGATAACAAGAAAGCTTAGGATTGGTATTCGTTTAACATGTCATGTTCACAAAACCCTCAACCAATACTTGTTGATTATATAGCGCGGCGTTCTTCCTGGTACTAAGATTTTGTCACTGGTCGATTGCACTGGAGCACCAAAATGCTGAAATATCTTATCTGCACATTTAGTCAATAGGCAATCATATGTAACCTAAACTTAACCCTGGTGTTTTCGTAAGTTGACTGTGTATCATTCGCACATAGCACTTGTTCAAACACCTTGTAATTACTACTCCAGTCATACTTATCGAGCACTAAACCTCTATTTGGTGAAATACTCGTTTGGTATTTGAGTAGTGATGGCTGCATCTTTGCGGGTATGTCGCTTATTGAAAATCCAATATTGAATAGTTTTGTTTCGCGTTTGGTATTAACGTCGTACTCAGGTGGTGCATCACTCTTATAGGTTTGTACAGTAGGTAAAGCTCAACTAAATATTATCTTGATGCCTACTCATCGAAGATGTGATGTTCACATACAACATAAGCAATATTCCACTATGTGCTTCATTTCCTTGAGATCTCGCCCAACTGCGATTTCATCGTCTCAATATTTCACGATATGCATACGGCATTTCCATGGCTTAATCGCTAGTGAATACTTCTGCGCATTCACATGTTTTTTGGTATCTCTTCTCGTGTGGCTTGAGCAGGAAGGCAGAACAACATGAACCATTCAACAACAAATATTAACCTGATGTTAACTGGGCATTAGTTGGAACAGAAGCAATAGCAGATGTATCGCCAGTACTGCTTGACTGCGAAGTTGCAGGGAATGGGTCAGACATAATACTTTGCGAGCAGTACAAGGAAACATGCTAAACGGCGGTCGCTAGCGCCTATGCACATGAAGTTCTGCAGACACACACCGGCGGTATAAACCCACCAAATAGGTAGGTACGTCATGCATGCAGACACACATACATGAACGCATGCATACATACATACATACATACATACATTCATACATACATGCAATACATGCAATACATACATACAATGACATACATGTATTGACATACCGACACACATACATGTGCACACACACAAACAGAAAAAACACACATACCCAAAGACAGACAGACAAACCGACATACATCCACATACATCCAAACATCCATGAATTCGTGCAGGCAGACCGGGCAGGCAGGCAGGGAGCAAGACAGACAGACAAAAAGACAGGCATGCAGCCACACACGTCCAGATTTACACACACACACACACACATGTATGTGCTTGAAGGGGCACACACAGACGGAGACATACATAGACAATTGTATCCATAGGTACATAAGTACATAGGTACATCGATACATCGACAGATACATACATGCATGCATGTATGCATACATACACATATACAAGCTATCTTCAAGAAATCCTATCGCACTTTATCCTATGCTTTGGTTATACATACACACACTGAAGTACCCATCTGCATCTACGTATAAATGCGTCTGTTATATATACCTGTACACAAATGTAAATGTATGAAGCACTGCAGGTGGACTGGTCTGGACTTGACCTCACCCAGCTTCAAGAATGAGAAGATCCGAAACCCTGCCCTGCGGAGCATTTGGAATCCGGCGCTGCCTGTGTTGTGGTGTTCGTGGCATTGGGGTCGATGTCCATCGATTGCAGTCGCCTTGATCCTGCAGGCAATGCCTCAAGGGCCTCAAGGCTTCTGTGGGTGTGGTGCAAGCCTTTTCCAAACCAACAAGTGAGCACAGCTGATCATTCGCACTGCCCCCGAGTCCTGTATCATTCGTCGAGTTCGAGGCATTCGAATCGATCATATTGTTCTGAGTGGTGCTCGGCTGAGTTGAAGTGGAAGTAGTCATGTCAGATGAGTTGGACGAGTCTGAATCGTTCACGGGTCGCTGCGTGTTGTCTTCCTGACATTGCCGGCACGCAAGACACGACGCAAGTGTAAGGGCTGGAGGCATGGTGGATGCCTCTGGCATCACTGGTCGTGGCGCTTCATATGGACCTGGCTCAAACGAAACTGGTCGAGTTCAGCATTGACACAACACATCAGCTACGAGGCCAGGGTGCACGAACAGCTTGCAGAGACGTGTCCACGCAAGCTTGACAGGCCAAGCGCGTAAGAGCAGCATTCTAGACCCAAGACGCCAAGCCTCAGCTCTTTCCATGATCAGTTTGAGAATCGGGCTTGCCGCGAGAGTCAGAGCTTGGCCGCGAAAACCTGGGGGCCCTGCACGATCACCAGCACCAGACCGATCGAGATGAAGGCCCCTGCCCGCAGGCCCCGGAGGCCCCCCAGGGAGGGCTCTGGTTTCGGGGCTTTTGGCTCGGGTGGGCTCGGCTTCGCCTGCTGCCAGACCACGCCGGCGCTTGGTGTCGGAAATGCCCTGAGGCACCTTCCAGCTTGAAAGACTCGAGAGGCGTGTAGGTTCAGAAATAGAAACGCATGAAACTCTCCAGTGGCCGACTTGAGGGCAAAGGATCAACAACACCGCAGCAGAGCAGCATCGCAAGACCAATAATCTACCTCTCAGACTCAGAGTATGGAAAGCACGGATCTGAGCGAAATAAACCCACCGCGCCGCACACAGCACTGTTTCCTGTTGTGCCTGAATGAGTTGAGTGTATTGCAGCTACTCCATTATCGGAATTCCACCCCTGACTGCACGGCATACTGCAACAAAACATACCGCCTCCCACCCCTGAGCTAGTACGCTGCACACCAGTGCACCAGAATACCTATGATCAGAAGCACTAAGTGCTCTGCCACCCTGCGGCTGCTCGGAGTGGAGGCCGCTGTCCCGATGTGCACCAGACCAGCGCCGAAGGCCTCAAAACAAAGACAAGGAAGCGAGCAAAGGCATTGTTTTGAAAGAGGCTACGATTCGAAGGCCAGACATAATTGTCCAGTCGTGCATCTATGTTATATGATGCGGATGATAGTACAGTCGGCTTTTGGCTATTGTGAATGTTTATGTAGGCATGCGTGTGTAAATATGTAGATATGCAGGTCTATAACGTGCATGTATGTATATGCATATGTGTATGTCTATATTCTTACGTACATATT